AAGTTCTGTCCCGTCCACGTCCGGTGGTTGTGTGCCTAGAACGGCATTCACAGGGCGGGAGTCTACATAACTTGAGACTGATTCCCTGTGAATGCCGTTGAGGGCCTGTCGGTAGGTTGTCGGGTCCAGAGGTTGTTTAATATACCTCTGGACTTCGTCTGTCAGTTCGTAAAGATGCCTCCTGACGTGCCGTGGCGAGGGCTCTTCCGCGAGCAGTTGCCCGCTTGGATGGCCACGTCTGTAGCTGCCAGCGAGGACCTGCTTGCAAAGCATTAAGTTATGCTCCTTTACCGGGAGCATCTGGGCCTCGTCATGAAGGTGATGTAGAGGCGTCATCAGGAGGCATCCTGTCGCGGTACGTAATGCCGTGTTTTGGCAGGTCTGCAGCTTCATCCACTGCGTCCTGCTAGTCCCCGGCGACCATACGGGCGCTGCATAGTTCAGAACCGGCCGGCCAATTGCCTTGTATGTTGCCAACAACGTTTCTTTATCTTTGCCCCAAGTGCTGCCGGCCAGCGACTTGAGGACATTGTTGCGGCTCTGTACTTTGTTGACAATTGCGGTTGTATGCGCCGAGAAGGAGAGCAGACTGTCGAAGGTAACTCCGAGGATTTTCGGGTTATTCACCGTCGGTATTGTTACGTCATCGACGTACCTTTGTTTGCCTTGGGAGACCGATTGTGATGTGTGGTGTTAAAGAGTGGTGTTGCCTGCCGGCCCCCTGCTGTACGAGCTGCAGAAGGGGGTGCTGCCTTGTGGTGGTGGTTGGAGGCGTCGCGGGGGAGGGATGCGACGGGGCCCACATAGTCGCTCGTCCAATCTCGTGTGTTGCGAAGTCCTGAGCACGCCCTAAAGTGGCGCCAGCCGAGGCAAGAGTTGCACTTGACTGATGTCACGTTACGGTATATTCTTGACTGACAGACAGAGCAGATTGTAGGAGGGACTAGGAGTTGCCGGCGGCGAAGGCCGCCTACGCAGAAAGGTGTTCTATGCAAAAGGTGTTTGGCCCTTTTTCTATGGCAACACAGAAAGGAGAATTCTACGTTGTGAGGCTATAATCCCTAAACGGGGTTAGATCGCCGAATAGCCCTTGGTCGGGTAAAACCCGTGTCATTCCAGTAGGTAGAACCGGCTGTCGTGGGAATGGGGGGCTTGGGGTCATATTGCCCTCTTCCGGCAACACAGAAAAGAGAATTCTACGTGAGGGTTATAATCCCTAAGTGCGGCCGAAGGCCGCCTACGCAAAAGGGTGCAGTTGGCTTTCCTTTATGGCCAACCAAAATAGACATCACTGGGGCGCGAGCCCCAGGTTTACCATACAGAAAGGGAATTCTAGTTACCTCATCCTTTCCCAAGGTTACACCGAAAGGAGAATTCTACGTAGTAAGGGTTATAATCCCTAAGCGCGGCCGAAGCCGCCTACGCAGAAAGGTGTTCTATGCAAAAGGTGTTCGGCCCTTTTTCTATGGCAACACAGAAAGGAGAATTCTACGTTGTGAGGCTATAATCC